ATAAATCCTTCTTCTCATCCAAGAAGCTGTGCAAAGATTAAAAATAGAATCTGCTGAATCATGAGCTCATATTTCAGTATTTTATTGACTGTGGTTGTTTACAGTGTGCTGTATTTTGTCCTGGATTCTCCACAATGTGTTCCATAACGCACCAATTTATCCCTAAAAACAGCTGGTATAATACAGTGTTTGTAAAGTTATCTAATAATGTACAAGTCTAATACATATGACTTCCCACTAGAGCTACATTCTGCTAATGTGTCTACATGTAATTTCCTTTTGTGGCAGCAGAGGGCACTACCACTGTGATGGTACAAATCACTCAGTTTTTAAGCCAGTATGTGAAGGAATTTTCCTAACTAGCAACAGGATATATCCCACTGAACCAAAGAACTGCTGAACAAGATAATAAGCACAATATGCCTAATGAGCCAGGCGCACAGATGGAGACAAGATGGACAAATAAGAAAAAGGTAAGAAAAGAGAAAGATGATAACGTGATAAGGCTTTGTGAGAGAACTATGAGTATATGCGTGTATGTGTATGTGAGATAACCTGATAGATATGGTTGAGTTTGAAGTGCTTTAGGAGCAGCAGCAGCAGAGCAGAGATGGCTTTGACGATGATTTCCTTGTGACGGTTCACATCAATTCCTAACTTCATGCTCTGAAGGACTGTGATACTAGAGAAGGCATACATAAAACTGTAAGGATCCAAAGTGTCTAATAATAATACAACTTTGTCACCATAAAAGAAAAACATAACCATTATGAGATAGCTTGTTCAGTCTCCTATGAAAATAATCTAATATTCTGATTAGTCATTTAATGAGGTATTTCCAGCCAGTGTACAATTTCAAACCCAGCCAGAAAAGCATGGATTTCAGCCATGAAAGTGTCAGACAGGATTGTGAATTTTTTGAATTGGGGGAAAATCCTTCAGCTCACTGGCTGAGTGTCAGCTATTCTAAACCAGGGGCATCCTGCAAACCAAACACACCCACAGTACAGTAAATGTGTTTTTCTAATAGTATTCCATCAGCCAAGAGAAAAATGCTATAAAAAGTCAACTTTACCTGCTTTTGTTTGTATAAAAGTGGATTGTTGGAGTTAGTTGAACTTGCAGCTAAAGTGTGAAGATGCTCAACAAACAGCACTTGTAAATAATAATAAATAGTGGTGGAACTGACAGCATACTGATGTAAATGTGGCTGTAGATGCCTGGAGCTGCATAAGCACATCACATCTGGTTAAAAAAAAAAATTTTCAAGTACAGCAACAGTCCTTCCACAATACATACGGCATTTCCTCAGGCAGCACATCAGCCAGGATGTTGATAGAGTCAGTTTTGGCTTTGGATGTTGGAGCTGCAGCCAGCAGAAGCTTCAGGAGGGCAATCTGACAAAGCACACAAAGCAGCTTCCTTGAACTCTCTACAATGCTCTGCGAGATATCGCATGTTCAGACAAAGGTTTATAGCTACTGAAAAGTGCAAAACTGATACCTGTACTTATCTAAAAGTATCTATAGATAAGATTTGTTTCCAACCTAAATTTTAGATTCTGCCCATTTACTCTGTTTTACTGGATAAAAAACACAGTGAGGGAGGATTATGGAAAATTCCTTGTACTATTTTGTGGCCATATTGAAACACAGAAGTACATTGTGAGCCACTCACCACGTACTGAGAAAGATTGGGAAGCATACCGAGGTACAGAATCTCTGCTGGTGTCTCCTCCACCTCCTCCTCGCCCTACACAATACAACACACATGTAAAATCACATGTAAACTAGAATGATAAGGCTGTTGTGTGACATCAACATGATTATTATAGATGGTGCCGACAGCGATGGCAGCCTTGGTTACTCCTGCTCTCTTGTTTTTGTTGTTTTTCTTTGTTTTCTCGGCCTTTAGGTCCATGTATCTGAAGCAAACTGCTTTGTACTGCATGGAGCTATGCAAACATGTTCCTTCAATCATCACGATTATAAGCTTTTCTTAGCTACGTGTAAATGCAGTAAGCAACAAATGCAAAAAAACATGAGATCATTTCCTGCAGCACATTTCACTGGTGCCACATATATAATGAGGCCAGCGAGGGAAGTGACAGAAACTGTGGGCTGGCCTTGCTCTGAGACCACAGGAGATTTCAAACACATTTTCTGCCCAGCAAGCCTCTGACTGGTGTAGTTCTGTTCCTGAGAAATGACCTTTTGCCCAGTTTTCATCTCCAAACAATCAGCTGCGGTTAAGCTCGTTTTGCATGAGTCAGGAGGATACAGGGTATTATACTTTAAGCCTTTGTATCACTGAGCGGTTGAGCAGCTGATCCTGTGGTGTAGCTGCAACATCCTGGAGCTGAACATACTCAAAACAGTGGAGATGACAGTGGACTTCAGGAAGAGCCCCCCCACTTTAT